TTATAACATGTAAGTAATATAAGTATTATTGCAGCTAAATATAATATATTTAATAATATAATTGTATATATTGCGGATACATAGGTGAAGTTTAATTAAATATAAGTTACTTGCACTCTCAAATCGCCAGAGAAGGCGAATCTATAGCCTGGCGTAAAACAGTTTCAGACTCGGCAAACCACTCAATTGAACGCGCACTATCACTTGTGTGTGTGTTATGCATAATCACGTGCTATGCGACACGATGATTCATTTGTAATAACCCGGATGTGTTATATTTTACATACCAACACCAATATCAGGATAGACCTATTTATGCTTGCCATTATGATACTTTCCAATATCTCTTTTGTGATAACGTAACCTAAACAATAAATAAAATATTCATATATTACTGTGATACAATCAATATATGTAATAAATATCAACATTGTAATGTTATAGTAGAAAAGTTCTAAACCCAAATCAGATTATTTTTCCATGCTCATTTTATATGACCTATTCCATTACGTGTTATTATTTAAAGGCAACACGTCGTCTTGATATTGTTCTCTCAAACAAAGTATCAAATGTATTACAATGATTATACGATGGTTTGATACAGTGGATGAGTTCGTGTGATCTCGCATATTGCGTGAATCGCGCGGTCTGAACGTCTGTCGCAAATTGAATGCAATTTCTTTTGTTATAGCTCATGAAATGAAGATTTTTAATGTTGGAATACAGTCACTTTATCAAAACTGAACACCATCACTTGCGTATATCACATTAGTAAGCCTGGTAATCCCACTCAAAAACATTCGTGTTTGTCGAATCTCACGCGATGTCTGACACTACTACGACGCTACGACCTATGTCTGTCCTGTTCTACGTTCGATTTCATAACGCGACATCTCGCAGTGAACGGAAATATGTAAACATATTGTGAATGGGGTACAGGCGTTTGGTATGCCATATGCTTGAGTTACTAGCCGAATAACATAACTGACTCTAAACTTTTTGTTAGTGTAGATATTTGGTCAAAACTTGGAATTTTCTAAATTTTCATGCGTTTGCGATTTCAACGGAAACCGCACATTGCACCAGTGCCATTCTAAAATTAATTACATAACTATACCTAAAATACAAAAATAACATGATTTACATTTTATGGAGAAAGATAAAACAATCACATCATTATTATTGTTGTTTTTGTCCACTATTGCCGAATTATTAATTACAACATTTATAATTACTGCTATAATTACTTTTGTAAATATTGTCGTGTGAGTGGTCTGAATACATAGTAAACATTTGTCAATCACAACATTTTACCCTTGTAAGATACTTTCTTCCAGTGTGCATTTTTACTAAGATCATATTATTTGTTTTCTCGGCAAAGTGACGTGGTGTGACATCCTCACCTCGATACTATTATTGAGACTAGATGGAATATCTTTCATTAATAATTGTCACCATATGGCGTTTTAAAATGGCACATTATTGAACATTAGTGAAATACCTTGAATCTCGGATTAATAATAATAATAATAATAATAATAATAATAAAGTGTAACTGTTGTTATAATACATGCAATAATAGAAATACTGAAACGTTCATAGCTATAGTGATGTGATAGTAACTAGTTTTGCATAGTTGCTAGTTGAAAACATGATACCCACTCCAGCACTTCGTCACCATACGGTACATTTAAACCTTTTGTAATTTATTCTATAATAGTGAACGAAACACTCAATTTTACTTATAATAAATGTTTTAGTATAATTTACATACAAATATTTACCAAATAAAACCACATAAACTCTTTGTTGCGACAACAAAAATCGGAGACGTAAATTATGGATGTTTCGACGACACACATCAAGTATCAATTAATGGTGGGCACATGTTACTGTGCTACTGAAATCTGTACGTACTTCCAAAACAACTTCTACGTTTATATCATCAATGCGTTATTTCGTACATTGAAATAAAATATATTTTAAAATCATATCAACATAACGACTTACCTGATAATATCGATAATAAGAGCAGCTATGCTCAACGGTGACGTTGCTTCAACTAATCCATACTAAACAGAAATGGTAGTTAACTGCTATAGCTTGGGTGACGTAGTATTGTGCCAACCAATAGGCTTTGACCGTCGTATTGGCAACATTCATCACCTGCCAATCAAACAGGTAATTGCACATCACTCTGTGATTGTTGCTGTTTGTGATGGCACCATAAAAAAATGTCACATAATAAATGAATCAATCAAAGGAAAAGTAAACAGGAAATCTATACAATTGTTTGAACGTGATTTAGCATGTTTCGGATATAAATGAACAAAAGCGGTGGAATAAATAACAACTACATTCATGATATAATCTAAAATTGCGTTTGCAATATTTTATCAAACTTAACACGGAACATATTTTGGTGTATATTGCATAATTATTGAAATGTTTGACATTGGAGAACAAATTTACAAAAATATAGCCAACATAGAAATATCATATTTATAACTGTGTGTTTCCAAAAATTGTGGAAAATGAAGTCGTGAACATATATGAAATTCAGTTAAACTGACAAACGTCAGATATCACACTATCAATAACTATTTACTTTTGTGGCAATATTTACACGCATGATTCTTTGAATGACGCTTCACGTTTACGTCAAGTTGTATTTCCAGTTAAAATAGAAATATTTGGGTTATAGTTCATTTATTGAAGTGTGTGATAATTCCTATATGAATTGTGTTATATGT